CAATGTTGTTGTTGTTGTTGTTGTCATGTGCCGTGGAGTTGGTTCGGACTCATAGCGACCCTGTACAGGGTTTCTGAGGCTATAAATCTTTACGGGAGCAGAAAGCTTCATCTTTCTCCTACAGAACAGCTGGTAGTTTCAAACTGCTGATCTTGTGGTTCCCAGTCCGATTCGTAACCACTACGCTACCAGAGCTCCTCACAATACGACCTCCTAAAACTCTATAAAGTTTAAAATTTGAGAAAGTGAATGACTTTCTCCTTTGATTCTATAAGGCTTTATTACCCGTGTGTATGTGACACCAACTACTATGACTGGTTACAAATCAGACTGTGAACCTCAAGGTCAGCAGTTCGAAACTACCAGCTGCTCTGCAGGAGAAAGATGAGGCTTTGTGCTCCCATAAAGACTTACAGCCTCAGAAACCCAGTATGAGTCAGAACCAACTCCACAGCACATAACAACAACAACAACTATGACTGGAAAGTATATGTTTATGAAATGATTACTTCTGTTAACAAATCCAGGGAAAAAAAAAACTAAATTTCATTTTCCTCCCATGGCTCCAAGCACTGGAACATTGTAGTCCACAACTTTCAAGAAACGCTTCATGCATTTTGGAACATTATTCTTGAAGACAACCAGTAACTTGTGTAAAGAGTCTTACTAAAAAGATGCTTAAGAGTCAAAGCACCAAAGATGCTATGTCTTCAAGGTAGATAGAGCAGCTGGTCTGCAGGGATGGAAGAATCCAAAATAATCTGGTAATGAACTGCTGTTCTGATAGAATTCATACCTGGGGGTAAAATTTAGATAACTTAGATGACCACTGCAAAAAGAATTGTATTTGTGAAAGTTTCACTAAGTGGTAGGACAGTTTGCAATCAGGAGACACTGTAGCATAGGAGTGTAGATGGGGAGAGAGAATCTCTGAAGGTGAAACCTAACTTGTCACTTTCTGGTTATGCAAACTTGGGATATTCACACTTCTTTCTCTGAGTTTCTCACTTGTAAAATGGGGATAATAATCATATCTACCTCGAGTTTTCTCTGCTATTCATAAGGCTTTCAGTGACTAAAGATTCCGAAGTAGTTTGTCACTCTTTCTTCCTAGTCTGTCTTTATCTAGAAGCTCATCTGACACCTGTCCACCATGGGTAACCCTGCTGGTTATTTAAAATACCGGTGGCATAGACCTCAGAATCACAGAAACTCACAAACCATCATAGCACAGCAGACAGACAAGTAGTGGCCATTTGGTTTGTCGAAACTGTCACTTTAAATTTTGAGGGGATCTGTGCGTATGCATAGTAGAATCCTCCAGGGGTGGGAATGGGGTATCCATTCCCTCAGGTATCCCCTCTAGTTATCAGAATGGAGATATGCAGTCAGCAATAGACCAATGAAAAATGGACAGATACCCAAAAAAAATGAATGTCCACACCTGTATCTCCTCGGTTCTGTCAGGCGTTCGTGGCTGTTCTGATCCTCTCCCCACTTGTTCTCTCCCAAGATGGTGGCTCCAGGAATAGCTGAGTGTCTTGAATTAGAAAGCAATAGATTTCTTGATTCTCCTACAAATTCCCCTAGCTGTAAAGCTTCCAGTCCTCTAAATATTCCTTTATATGTGGTTCAGAGTTCTAGCACCATCCCCTGAGTCTGCTTGGCCCGGTGGTATTCTGTGTTGTTCGTAACAGAGCTCCTCACGGCACATCTACACGAGCCGCCATCTTGATTGTATCATTTTAAAGATGTCAGCTTGAGGACTAAGGTGCGCCTGACTCAAGCCATGGTATTTTCAATCACCTCATATGGATGTGGAAGCTGGACAGTAGATTAAGGAAGACGTAGAAGAATTGATGCTTTTGAGTTACGGTGTTGGAGGAGAATACTAAAAGTGCCATGGGCTGCCAAGAGAACCAATAAATAGATCCGTTTTGGAAGAAGTGCAGCCAGAGTGCTCCTTAGAGGCCAAGATGGCCAAACTTCGCCTCTCATACTTTGGACATATCGAACAGTCGCTGGAGAAGGATATCATGTTTGGTAAGATGGAGAGTCAGAGAAAAAGAAGACCCCCAACGAGATGGATTGGCCAAGTGGCAGCATCAATGGACTCAAGTGTGGCAACAACAGCGAGGCTGGCCCAGGATCGGACATTGTTTTGTTCTGCTGTGCATAAGGTCACTTGAGTCAGTGCCGACTCGATGGCACCTAAAAACAACAACAAAAACTACCTCAAGTTTTGGGGAGAATGAACTGAGTTAATATATGCAAAATGCTTGGATCAGTCTCTGCCATTTAACAAACAATATTGAGTATTAGCAATTATTATTTGTATTATTTCCTCCATTTTTAGGATCATTTTATCATCTTTATTTCCCATTCTAGTTTATATTCAGCTTCTAATCTCTGAAATTTTATAAAGTTCAACATTAATCAAATCTAAATTGCTATAGTAGATGCCTGTTTTATTGTAATTTAAATCGTTCATTCATTCATTCATTCTGTCAACACTTTATTGAAAAACCTATATGCAAATGTCAAATGATATCTTCACTTTCTCTAGGAAGAAACTTACTTTTAAAACTTTATATTTATTAATTTTACTGCACAATAAAAGTAATTGACTTAAACACATGCTAATGAAAGGTTATGTATCATAGTAGTTGACTGAAATTGTTTAGAAAAAAAAGTGGAAATAAGCTGTAGCTGTTTTGCACCCTAATAATGTAACATCCTGTGTCTTCTTCCATAATAAATAATTCACTACTTAAATTTTAAGACACTGAATTTGATGCCTACTGAAATTAGGAAATACAAAGGTGGATGGCTGTGCTGCTTGGCTGCAGTAGAGAACATAAGGGGCCACTGTTGGTATCTATGTATTAAGCAACTCTCTTCTCCTCTCATCACAAAGCACAGATGGGAGATGTCACAGAAAGCGGATTTTGTGTCCTGCCATCAGGTGAAGTGATTGATGCAAACTTCCCTGAAAGCAAACATCACAAAATTCCTCTCAATAACTGGAATGTTTTTTATGCACAACTGGTACTTGTGGTAGAGTCAATTATTGCCCCCCATTTTCTACTCTCTGTTCCCCCATATCTAGGCCCTTTGCCAAGTAACTTTGCAAGTCCCCTTTTTAAGGTGGCGTGTACTTCCCTAAACCTTGTTTTTGGATTTGACTGGTTGGGGTGCTTTGTCCAATGCATGTGGTTGGGAGCGACTTGCAGCACTTCACAACATGGCCCATATGAAACATCACATTTTCTACTTTTCTTATTGTACATTTGCTATCATTATGAGAAGAACTTCCCCTGAGTAGCTGCTTCCTCCCCAGCTTAGGTCCAGAATAAGTATGTGGAACAGACTAGAACCTGACTTGCAGCAAGGAATGTAGGCTAGCATCATTTACAACTTATAGCAGGGTTTCCCAGGAGAGCTCAGTCAAGATCAGCTAGTCCCCAGAGATTTTGTTACTTGTTAAATAGCAACAGGTGACTGACACATTGTATAGAGTTATAGATCCTATAAAAAGGTCTTTATCTGACAGATAAAGGACTTCTGGTGTGGTGTTGTAGGATAAATACTGGGCTGCTAGATCTTGTAGTATAGTGGATACAAATAGGGCTGCTATCCTCAGGGTCAGCAGTTCGAAACTACCAGCTGTTC